ACTATGTATGTATGTATTCCTCAAGTGTCTTAAACTTAGAAATAAGAATAACACTTGTCACATATCTTTACAAATACTTACATTTGCCTAGCGCGATTACAAAAGCAATCATAGTAATGAATTATATCTATGCCTTTACTTCTTTCTTTGTTTTGTTTTGGTTACTTGTAATCTGCCTGCTAATGTCCAATGAATTTACAAGTTCTGTATTTCAACGGGATAAAAACTACACTATTAAGATGAACAAGAACATTGAAGTTCATGAACAATAGTTGAGTTGAGTTCTTTCCCACATTTCATATCTTACCACTAATATAGTAAAATGTGATATTTCAACACATGTTCTTCTTACCTCAGGGCCTAGCATGGCAGAAGGGTCTGATATTGTTTCCACAATCTGAGTTAGAACTTCAACAGGCACATCCCCTGGGGATAACAAAGGATAAAGACAATGACTTGTATGGAGATTACTGTCTGGAAGGTAATTGAACATTTTGGTAAAGTGAACAAGTGTGTGTAACACATGATGTTTGGTAAGCTGAGAGAAAAAGAAAAACAGTTACTTCCCACTCCCTCTGGAGTAACAGTTGGCTAAAATATTGTAAATGGAGAAATAAAACATGTCCATGAGACATTTTTCTGTAAAATTTCCTTTGATGGCATTTTACTAGCTCTGAATTCAAGGGGTGTGATCATCAGTTTCATACATCATGTAATAATTATTAAACAAGGTGTGCCTCCCTAGCGACCATTTTAATATTTGAAGTTATCAAGTTAAGCTTAGGGCTGTAGATAACAACTGGATGTAGCCCCTTGAAATGTTTTTGACTACCTGCCAACTTCTGCCTCTTAGCGCTGTTATCAACACTTCCATCATCCTCAGAACTCCTTTTCTCACCAGTCACTCCAGTCAAGTCTGTCATGGACAAAAACAACCAGAAATTAAGGCACACCAACTTTCTACATAACCTACCTCAACCAAATACATCAGGTTATCAGCACACTTGAATCACCTGGGAAAAAAATTGCTTATGATAAAGCACTTCCACCTTGTGAAACCTGCAAATGTTGTCCTAAAGGTGTAAGATTTAATGAAGTCAATTCTAAACTGAATCTCCAGGTTCATGCCTTGGGTAGGGCCATTTGAAATACTAACATTCTGCATATGCTGCAGACGGTACATGCAGGAGATGGAAAGGAAGAAGAGCTTGTTCTGGTTTCCATGAAGCATGAAAAAACTAGGAGTATTACTGGTCGAAACCAGTCGGTAGACTTTTTACCTTTTAATTTACCTAATCATTCTAAGCAACATATGGCAATCTGCGGTCTTTCCTTACACTTAGGTAGCACGGAAAGCCATAAAACTCTTGAACAAAAGCCCATCTTTCAAACCGGCAGTCTAAATCCCACAGGGATCAACGAACGCTTTTCATTCCTCTAATTTACTCGTGTTTTTCTCGTTGCCATGTTCCCACCAATAACGTAGCTCCATACACAACCCACAATTCCTCTACTCGCTCCGATGAAG